CAGAGGTCAATAAGTGCCACCGACCCATCGACTAAATAGGTTCCGTCAAGTACACCTCTTGTCCTCATATAACGGTTTCGGAAGAACCAAATAAGCATGGCTGAACTTGTGGCGGCCGCGGTAAGAAGATTCCTGATCACGGAAATGATACACACACACTGTTGCCTTTGGCTTCTTCTCGAGTCTGCGGCTAACCGCGAACATACAGTGGGCTACCGAGGAGGTTGTTTCGACAGGCCTTCAGGTTGGTGTGGCTAGCTATGTCATGGGTATGTGCCTGCGTGTGAAGACTTTGGGTATTGGCAGTCTGGATTCTCATAGTAATACCAATCGCAGCGAAGCCTACTATGCCCATCAAAGCAACGTGGTCCCAGATAGCAACGACCAAGGATGACCTTTCCAGGTACGAGTTTTGCCGATGGATGCTTCTACCCGACAAGACCATACCAGATACAGCTGCTAATAATGGTCATGGGGTATCAAGCGCATCTTTGACTAGGTCACATCACACTGTTACCGTTGTAGGCAGCAGAGCCTACATTTTCGGCGGCTGGACTAACGGGGCTCGTCTTGCCTCTGCCGACCTTCACTCGATATTTTTGGGGAACTCGACCACCGAAGCAGACGCACCCGAGTATCAAGTACTTCCTGCTATATCCGCGAATGAAGGTGGCCCTATCCCTTCTGCACGCCATAGCCACGCCGCATGCGCCCTAGGCAAAAACATCGCCATATACGGCGGTTGTGCCGAAGACGGAAGCTTAGTCGACGATGGCTATAGGATCTGGACCTACCACACCGAAAAATTGATGTGGGATCGTATCGAACCCACCAGCCACCCCGAAAGAACTCCTCCTCCGAGAAGTGAAGCCAAGCTGTTTCAGCACAATGGCAATCTTATCCTTTACGGCGGGAAAGGCTCTGGTGGCTCAGCCTTAGTAGATGCCTGGCATTTTGACTGTTCCACCAAGGTTTGGAACCAACTACCCTCAGCACCTGCTGCTAGCACGAGTGCTGCCTTGTTTGGCGACATTCTTTACGTCATTTCCGGCTCGGATGATTTGAGTAGCCGGATACACATTCTTGAAGTCAAGCTCTACTCACAACAACCACTGACATGGAAAACACTGTCATTTCCGACTAACCCCCTGACCCCGGGACCTAGACCACGCGAGAACGGCGGGCTTGCGCCAGTCACGACAGGTTATGGCCGGAATTATCTCCTCTACTTTCTAGGGGACCGCCACGACTCGACCTCGAAAGTAGGCCATGGGGAATCCGCTTCGGCTGAAAATGCCGCCCCAGCTCAATGGAGCGATATGTGGACCTTTCAACTACCGTCAAGTGATGTCGAGTTCAAAGCTACAACCACTGCGGCCGAAGCGATCAAGCCCGCGAAGATCAAGGATCAGATTCGCACGAAGCTCGGAGCTGATACAGGCAACGCGAGCTGGGCCGAGGCCGAGGTGCAACCTCCGGGTGATATTCAAAAACATGAGGGCAAACTTCATCCAGGTCCAAGATCTCATTTCGGCTACTGTCAAACGGTGGATGGGCGAAGTGTAGTAATTTGGGGTGGGCTGGATGCGAAGGGTCAACAGCAGGGCGATGGCTGGATTGTTCAGCTCCATTAGAAACCTCTGTTGTTTGAAATAGCAATAGACAACCGTAGTAGCTATTCTGTTATATTCACACCGTCCCAGTTCCCATTGCCTATTGCACCTGGACTGGAACTTGGTGGCTTGGTGGCTTGATAGACCCTTCGGCATCACCTGGACTTCTACAATACGGACTCCTTTATGGTTCACCCCATATCTCATCCGCAATCTGCCTTACAAGTCTCACTATGAAAATCTTGGGTCAGTGATATCCCCTCCAGACACGCTAGTAAACAAGTCTTGCAGTGTATTCCGTGAGTTGTGTGTTGAAGACCCCAACAAATAGGACCCCGAGGGCTTGTGGTATAGACGAGGATATGTGGGGTGTAATGTGACAGGGGTTGCTTACATTTACTCTTTTCGTCCTCCTCTGTGAGCGGATATCCACTTTCGTGGGTACTGAACCCGCACTGCGGACTAACAGCGGTTTGTTTCAATGCTTCTTCACGGGTGATGCCGTTTCCTTCTGCTACGAAATCGGCGGCCTTGTAGATGCGCTGTTTCATCGTCTCCTTGTCCTCCAGTTGAGGCACCTTGGTGCTGATTACACCGACAACGACATACTTGTTCTTGGGTAGGTACTTGAGCGGCTCGAAACCGCCCGACCTCTCCGTGTCGTACTCGAGGTAGAAAGTGTTGACGTTGAGATTCTGGAATAGCTTCTTCGCAATGATATCATACGCTCCTTCGGCGAAGTGTCTGCCGCCGATGAAGTTACCTCTGCACAGGTGGATTCCAGTATGCATGTCTGCCGGGCACTTGCTGATAGAGTCGTTGTATAGCTTGATGTAGGCGTCAAGAAGGTCTTCTACGGTGCCTACATTATCCTTGTCCTCTTCCCAGCCCTTGCGGAACTGTTCAGAGCAGAAGTCTACCAGACTGGTCAGTCACCGGACATCTTTGGCTCGCGGGAAAACTTACAGGCCATGCCGGGGTCGTCAAACTGCACGTTCCTGAGCCCAGCTTCATATAGCATGGCAAGCTCGTCCTGTCACGTTCTCTGGTCAGTCCTTTCTCTGACGGGGGATTTCTAGACCACTACATGTCCTGAAATCTGTGGACAGAGCACGGGCCCGTTCAGATTTCAGATGAGAGGGTTGCTAGTCATCAAGCCCTTGGATAGGTCACAAAAGGGGGGTAAGGAACACCGAATGCTCACCTGATAGACCTTAGCGACGTCCTTGAAGTACTCTTCGTCATTTTCATAGGCCTCCTTGGCATAAGCTCGGCCTTGCTTGTATCTCATATGGAACCATGCTGGAGTGATCATGGTGAGCTTGATGTTGCTCCATTCACTCTCAGGTAAGGCGGACTGGACTAGGCGAAGCTCATGAAGATTCGACGTTGACCTGGCGCGGTCATGCGATAACTTCTGCGCTGCGATAACGGAGTCTCCGGGCATGACGTGCCTGTCTTTCTCGATCAGGCTTACCACGTCAGGGTGATACAGCCGAAACATGCTGGCATCGGCCTCCTGCAGCGCAATGGTGCCCACGAACTCATCCTAGAAGCACCCGTGGTCAACACTTTTGACGTCGTATGATATGGTGTATCGTGGCATCCGGAAGCTCAAGTAATGCAGGAGGGACTACGGGGACTCCCGGGAATATCTCAGATACAGAAAGGAACCGACTCACCCACATCAACCCCCAGAAACGGGTGCGAACGAACTCTCCCGAGGTGACAGCCTTGATGCCCAGTTCTTGCTGTACCTTGACCACATCCGCAATGGCTTTCTTCTCGACCTCGGGAAGGCCAGCCTCTTCTGGGGATACGCCCTTGTCCCGGATGAGTGACCTAGCGTCCAGGAGGTTCTGTGGGCGTAGGAGAGAGCCCATCTGCTCCGCACGGAAGGGACCTGGAGCCATAGTTACTTGCACTGCCTATAGCAGGACCTCGTCTTTGGTGTGAAGGTGGGGGTCGGATGCTACGGATCTAGAGGATGTTTGACTCTAACAAGTTCGGTCCAACTTAGTAAGAATCTAGGGGAAGGATGAAGGGAGGAAGGATAACCACAGTCCGAACAATGAGACCTATGTTCATAAGAAAAGAACTCAAGAATTCTACAGGAGCGGAATTTTTGAGCGGGGATGGTGTCTGATTTAGTTCTGAGCTAGGTTGCTAGGCTACCTACTCCACCTGTATGTCAGCCACCATGGTGTAACTTAAGTCTGAATATTATAAGTATGTCAGCTTGTATATGATAGCCGGATACTCTGACGTATGTATTAGATGTAGGAGCTGTATGACCCTTCAAGGGTAGGAGTTACTCATATCCTATGACTACGAGGCCACACCACTTAGTATCAAGTCTGATCTCTGCAATATATAACAGCATTGCTTATATGGTATAGTAAACAGGGATATAGTAAACAGGGACTAGTATTAGATAGAAGTAGATGTGAATATCGGAGAAAGGGCGGTGAAATGGAGGAAGCCGAAGGATATACAAGGCCAGGAGTCAACCTGAAAGGCATATGATATCTCCAGTCTACGGCAACAGGGAGGTAGACCGAGACAGACCGAGAAGACACTGCTTATGTTGTTATGAGCATGGCCCCCACTCCGAGCCCTAGTGAACAGAGTGACCAGTCGGCTCGGACTTATTAGTAGTACTATGTACACGGATAGATATATAGTACAATCGCTATGATATGTGATGGTGGGTACGAGCGAACACCGATCCAACAGATAGGGTCAGTCATGTATAGATGACGGTAAAGGGGGCAGGATATTGGCAATATAAGACGAAAACAACCGCCATGACAGCCAGCCATGTGTTGCCTCACTCACGTCCTTCACGGCTACAGGCTGACATCATCCCAAGAATCTGGTTCCAATGTGGAGAAGCGGGGAGAGCCAGGATATACAGTAGTTACATTGGCAGTGTTTGGTTGCATTGGTATTCCAGCACGTGGCTTTCCAGGTTTGTAGGCCAGGTTTGTAGGTATATGTCTGTATTGAAGCTAGTCACTAAGACGAGAAAGGCAGCCGCAGTGAACTTTCTCCATGCAATGGAACCTTAAAGGGAGTGAAGTGAAAGCTGTATCTGTTCCGTTACAATCGCTGGGTAAGTGCCTACAGGTAAGTGCCTAGATAGGGAGGTAAGTACTAGTAGCTACTGATATTTTAGGGGCTAGGTGCTCGGGTAACCCGGAGATATTACGGCAATATTTATATTAGCGAAAATCTTCAGATCTGCGGGGCGATCACGATAATCACCTAGCGTAATGGGGGTGGCACCAATAGTAACGCCGCCGCAATCTGATAGTCCAGTTAGACCCTGCACAGCCTCCGATAGTCATGGGATTATAAGCTTGCTTAACACGCAAACTTTCAACAGCCGGGATGGTGGAGTGGTCTAACACGTGCGACTCAAGATAATTCTTGATCCCTCAAAAGGATTTCGCATCTCGAAAGAGGCGTGAGTTCGAATCTCACTTCCGGCAAACATTTATTTTTTCCATCCGGTGTTCGCATCGCATGAGTCATCTGAACGGTGCCTGCTGAATGGTACCCGTAGGATTTTTTTTGCCGGGTGTTTCGGCGACCGCCCACAAGAAGATGACCGCATGCAATTCTGGAAGACGATTGGATTGGTCTAAAGAATTCGGGTTTTCACATTCGCCGAAAGGATGGTATAAGTTGTCTTCGCTGCTTTAATGTATCAAATATAATCAACATCTAGATTGGATTATACTCACAAATCATGGTTTCGGACCTGTACGCGTGAAGCGCCCGGAAGTAAGGCAAAATGGGGACGCGAGTGGGAATGCCGACATGAATATCATAACGGCAGAGTATAAATAGATGGACAAGTTTAATAGACTAAGCCTAAGAGAAATTAAACCTGTCGATGTCCGCGACTCCAAGTACCTTCATGCGTGCTCCTTTGAAGGGTGGAAAGTTAAGCACCAACTTGAAGCACCAACTAAAGTTAGTATCTAGAAGGCCCAACCAGACAAGATCGCACTGCCCGAGTAAGCAGAAACCGAAGCGAGTACCGACACACAACAGCAACAGGTAGGCCAATAGGACCGAAGGAGTAAGGCCAGAGATGGCCAGCGTCTAGAGCTCGTTATTAGCTCTGCAAAGTGGAAGCAGAAGGGGATCACATGGAAGCGCATCACATTGGTATCACTATATACAAAGGGACATTGGCAAATCAACGCTTTGAATTACAGATTAAATAAGTTCTACATCAACATCTCTAGAAACCCCAATCCGGGTCCAATTCCCCTCTATATGCGTTTTCCATGCTTTTCCACATCAATTCCTTTACAGCATGGCGACGACAGCGGCGACAACGGCACCAGCGGCACCGCGGGCGACATTGCGGCCGGCAGAGCCGGTAGCGATGGCCGGACCGGTGGGGTAGCTGCCAGAGTTACCACCAGCGGGGGTGGTAGTCGGGTAGCTGCCGGAGGGCTGGGCACCACCGGGGATGGTGGGGTAGCCAGTGCCGTTGGGCTGGGGAGCCGAGGGGGCGGTCATACCAGCGGTAGGGTAAGGAGGCATCGAGTTGGCGCTGCTGGGGACAGCAGGAGTCGACTCAGCCGGGGAGGTCTCGCTGGCACTGCTAGGGGCAGGGCCGGTAGGGTAACCACCAGTGGGCACAGCAGGGCTGGACACAGCAGGGGTAGACTCAACGGGCGAGGTCTCGGTAGCGCTGCTGGGGCCCGGGGCGGGACCGGTAGGGTAGCCACCGGTAGGGACAGCCGGGGCACTGCTGCTGGGGACGGCGCTCACAACGGAAGAGCTGCTGGGGACCGGGGCCGGAGCCGGGCCAGTGGGGTAGCCACCAGTGGGAACGGCAGGGCTGGAGACAGCGGGGGTCGACTCAGCAGGAGAGGTCTCGCTGGCACTGCTGGGAGCCGGGGCGGGGCCAGTAGGGTAACCACCGGTAGGGACGGCGGGGGTAGACTCTACGGGGGCGGTCTCGCTGGCGCTGCTAGGGGCAGGGGGAGCCTCGGCAGGGTAGCTGGGAGCAGGCGCCTCGGTAGCGTAACCACGGGCAACGGGGTAGCCGGTAGCGGGAGGGGGAGCGGGGGTGGTAGACTCCTCCTCAGTGCAGGTGGTGTCGCTGGGGACAGCAGGAGAGCTAGGGACAGCAGGAGAGCTGGGGACAGCCTCAGTGCTGGAAGCACCGCTGGGGGTGGTGGTCGGGTAGGCGGCACTGCTGGTGGTAGGGACAGCCGGAACCGTGGTGGGGACAGCCGGAACCGTGGTGGGGACAGCAGGGACCGAGGTGGTCTCCTCAGTGCAGGTAGTGTCACTGGGAACAGCGGGGGAGCTGGGATAAGCGGGGGAGCTGGGGACGGCCTCGGTGCTGGACGCGGCACTAGGGGAGCTAGGCACGGCAGGGACAGTCACGGTGCTGCTGCTAGGAGTGGGCTTGCTGCTGGCGGAGTAGACACTGCTAGGGACGGCAGGGACAGTGCTGCTGGAAGTGGGCACAACGGGAACAGAGCTAGTAGTAGGGACAGCCGGGACAGTGGTAGGGACGGCCGGGACCGTAGTCTCCTCGGTGCAGGTGGTGTCGCTGGGGACCGCAGGGGAGCTGGGGACAGCAGGTGAGCTCGGGACAGCGGGAGAGCTGGGGACGGCAGGCGAGCTCGGGACAGCCTCAGTGGTCGAAGTGCTCGAGATTATGGAGGTCGAGTAGACGCTGGAAGGAACGGTAGGAGCGGTGGTAGGAGCAGTAGTAGGGGCCGTGGTAGACTTAGAAGAGGCAGGGATGCTGGGGTAGCCGGTGCTGCCAACCGGGGAAGTGGCGGCGGTGGTCTCCTCAGTGCAAGTGGTGTCGATGGGGCCGGCAGGAGTGCTGGGGATAGCCTCGGTGCTGGACGCGGCGCTGGGGGCGGTGGTCGGGTAGGCACTGCTGGAGGGGATAGGAGACGAAGCAGCGTAGCCGCGAGCCGCGGGGCCGGAGCTGGCCGGGGGAGTGAAAGTCTCGACGCACGAGGTGGAGGTCAGAGTGACGGACGGCTGGGGCTTGGAGAAGGTCGTAGTGGCGCTGGCGCTGGGCAGGTCGGTGACGGAAGCGGTGGCCGGGCAGACGGTGGTGTAGATGACGGTGTGGATCACGGTCTTCTCGTCCTGGTACTCAGGGGGGCAGTTCACGTTGTGGATCTTGCAGGCGGTGACGGTGTAGGTCTGGGGCACCGAGACGGTGGAGGTAACCTCGCCAGAGCCAGCAGTGGGGAGAACGCTGGAGAACGGAGTAGGGGTGGGACCGCCAATGGGGTAGCCGTTGCTGGCACCACCGGGGCCAGTAGGGACACCAGCGGAAGGAGCACCACCGGGACCACCGGGGGCGCCAGTGGGGACACCAGCAGAGGGAGCACCGGGGCCGGAGGGAGCGCCAGTGGGAGCACCGGGAGCGCCGCCAGTGGGGACGAGCACGGGGCCGGAGGTGGTCGGGCGAGGGCCGGGGTTGCAGATGGTGTTGGTAGGGACGGTGAGAAGGGTAGTCGCGATGGTAGGAGCAATGTTGATGGAGGCAACATCCTCAACCTCGACGTCAAGACCAACGATCGCACCAATGTTGAGGCCGTAAGACTCCTCAGACAGAGGGCACGAGGGGGTGCTGTCGCAGAAGAGACCGACGTACTCGAGCAGGTTAGCCCAGACGGCAACCTCGACACCGGCACCGATGTCAGGGACGGCGTCAAGGATGGGCAGGATCTCGTCAACCTCGAGGTCGAGGCCAACGGAGGCCTGGACACGGAGGCGGAGATCAGCCTGGAGAGTGGTGCAGCCGATGCGGACCGTGATGGGGAGAGTGGAGACCGAGAGACCAGAGAAAGCAGCATCGAGGATCTTGCCAGCAAGCAGATCCGTGTCGAGGTGGGCCTCGTCGACAAGCTCGACGTAGACACCGGCGGCAACATCAATAGCGGACTGGACATCGAGGACGAGGTCCAGGAAGACCAGAGCCTCCACATCGAGACCCGGCAGGGACAGCTTGATGAGGTCCTCGGGGGTGAAGAGGTTGATGGCAATGGTGGCGGCGGCACCAATCTGGACGTCGAGGTCGAGGTAGGCCTCGATGTTGGTCAGAGACAGGCTCAGTTGCGGGACGACCTTCTCCAGGGAGAGGTGGGCATCCACGTTTCCGTGGACGAAGCAGTTCTTGCAGAGAACTGCGACCTCAGCCGCAGCGCCGACTTCCGCAAGAGGGTCGATGGCAACGTCGGCGATCAGGCCGGCGACCAGCAGCTCCTCCTGCAGTTCGACGTCGAGCTTGACGCTCGCGGAGACGCCCTTGCCATCGGCTTTGGCATCAGCGCCTAGGCCGAGAACCGGGGCTCTCTGGGTGAGGTCGACGGGCGAGGCGTTGGCCAGGGCGGCCATTAACGCCACGGCCGCCGGGCCGTGGGTTGGAAAGTGCATTTCGAAAGAGTGAAATTAACTATTACTAGAAAGAATGGACTGGAGCAGCGGAATACCTAACTGCTTCCCAAAGGATAAAGAGTGACGACGCTTAAGGATCGAGCGTGTTGGAAACAACTCTTTCACCGTGTGTGCAGGGTATGAGCGTGAGGTAGGAAGAAGCCAGAGACGAGAACAAGACGATTCTCGTCTGCTTTTCAACTGTTCTCTCTCGCCCCCCGTTCTCCTATACCCAGGTCGGGGAGATGAGCTTCGCCGGTAGGGCACGAAGCTAATCCGCTCCCTGATACCTATGGGGTCATAGCGTTACCACGCTGTCCATGGCCCTCGACCTCGCACATGCGGTGTAGCACGTCCAGCTGTTGCGCGTGTTGTCGCATAGTAGATCGTCTCGTGGGCCAAACTGGTATGGATTTCTGCGGATTTCTGCAGGCCAACACTGTCCCGAACAGGGAGATTTGCCAGCAACCGTCACGACGGTCATCATTTAATTTGCGGAGAAGACAGGGGGGCCACGACGTAGCTCACCTCCACAACGGCTCTGTGGTCCCCGCCCATGCAGCCCAGCGTAATATCGGCCTCCCGGTTTACCGCCCGATGGATGGGAAGCCCCTGGCCGTCCCTCATGGGCCCCTGGTCGCATCCCACATAATGGGTGGGTAGAGTGTCTTTGGCACTCCCACCAATTGGTTTATTAAATTATAGCTTGCTGCCCCCTTCGCCGCCTTTCTCCCTTTCCACGTCCACTGTCGATAGCGTCAGGTGAATACGAACTTCTCGACGAACACCGCTCAACTCGCGGTCCATTCACTTTGTTCGAGAACTTCCAGTTGAGCCTAGACCCTGCGCTACGCGCCTCGTTGGCAGGGCTGAAGGGGAAGTAGGCGCACAGAGGCTGGTACACAGTATCGGGAGCCCTATCTCCGAGACCCCTAGCTGTCATGGTTTTTATCCCGTTGCCTTTCGCTACGCAGTAGGCACTCCATCTTTCTGACGCTAGGCAACCACATAGCCGTGCAGCTGCTGTGATAACTTGGCTGACAAGTGAGCCTCA